TGCTGTACCACTTGTATTCAATGACAAAGACAGTTCGACAGTTGGGGGGGTGTCCATAGGGGGGTTGACTCAGTCGCACTGAGCGACGATACACTGCGCAACAATACACTGCGCAATGATACGCTGCGCAACGATACACTGTGCAATGATACACTGCGCAACGATACACTGCGCAACGATACACAGCGCAACGATACACAGCGCAACGATACACAGCGCAACGATACACAGCTCGAAGATGCACAAAGCAATGATGCGCTCCCCAAGCGACAAGGTACAAGCACATACGCGGCACGTCCGTAAAAGCAGCCTCACGGCACTTAGCTCTCCCACCGACGCAGCCCCCCTAGGCATCGCGTGCTGTCAGGTCCGCAGTGCGCCTTGCGTGGGGGAATGAGCTCTCTCGCGCTCGCTGTCATGCCACTGGGAACGCCCGCCCACCTCAGCTTCAGCTACGCCGCTACGCGTGAAACGCCGCTGCGTGCTCGCCGTACTAACCGCCACCACAGCAGGACATGGCAAGCACGCAGCCGAGCTGCGCTACTACGATCATCCGCTTTTGCGTCCAGGAGCCAAACTAAACCACGGGTTTGGCCCCGCCATATGCCACGCCATCAGGTCTCGGTGACTCTACAAAATTCACAACGCCACATACCATGCCCAAATCTCGGTTTTCCCCATCTTTGCACAATAACCTTTGCACGAGCAATGACTAGGGTTATGTGAAACAGTGTTTAGGAGGGTAAGCAGTGCTGAACCTTTGCTGTAGGATAGGTGAAAAATGTCTCCCCTTCCCCATTGTCTCTATAGCCGCTAGTAGTTCGCTTCCAAACCGTCCCACACGTGCTAACTTGTGCTAGTACATCGAATATACTTCGGTTGTGTTGGGTGTACAGTGGTGCCGAGCTTGCATGAGTCTGGCATTTGAACTTGCATCGACGGAGGTTTAGTGGTGTTATAACCGAACAAACTATAGCGACACTTGAATCAGATAAGGTTTTGCTGACGCGTCAGAAAACTGCGTCGCGTCTGAAGGTGCGGTGTCACATTCAGATGTGACAGCGCGGGTGTGGTTTAGTGAGGCGAACAGAAACCCAAAATGCCAAGGGTTTCGATTTCGCCAAGTTCGTCAGGTTCCCTCAGAACACAACGCAGCGAAATCTTTCCCAAATGTTGAATGATCTCGCCAACCCTTTCTCGATTTTGGGGATCCGCACGTGCGACACAACACCACACTGCCCTGCCACCTTCTAGTGCGTGAGATGCTCCCCTCAACCTTCAAACCCAGTCCACAGATCGAACCTGCTCATTTCACGTCTTACAATCTCGTGCACCGTTTTGTTCACCCAGCTTCCTCCGTCCCCCGGTTGCTCCAACCCACCCGTTTTTGCCCCATATGCGCGTTCTTAATACGTGTGTCTTTCTGTTTTTGCATCCTCCCTCTTACAGGCTAGTGAAAGACTGCTGGGCGGACGGTTTACGCTTTGAAGTTTGACTCGCCGCATGAAGCTCGCGATCAGGCTACCTTGTCACGCCCTATTCCTGATGGTAAATTCATGATCAGGTTAGGTGAGCTTTTGATTTACCCAAAAACGCATTGTCTACTACGCGAGTGTGAGTACGTGTTTCTTTGCAGAATACTAGCGCGTGTGACAACGCTCTATACCAGCGACTTCTCTGACTATCGCCACGCGTCTAAAAAGTTTAATCAAAGCTTATATTTTCCCTAAGTCTTATTGCCATCTTATTGCCGAACAAATCACGGTTCTTCGAGGCGTTTCATAAGATACAGTTCCGAGGTGGTCAATGGCATCCATGATCGGTAGGTTCATCTGAGGTTTTTTTGTCGCCCGTTACATAGCGTGCTGGTTCTATGTCGACCTAACTCTGCTGCGCTTTCTGCAGGACCCTCGTCCCGCCAAAAAAAACCTGGTAGTTACTGCATGTTACATAGCTGCTGTGTGGAGCGTGATGTAAGCAGCTATATAAATAGGATATTAGGTGATTGTTGTTTTGTCTATGGGAAGGCACACTAGGTGGTGTGATTTTGACTTTTCTTTATGTATGGCATGAGTTGTAATGTAAGAGCTTTGGATTGCTGGTTTTGGTCCATGACTCACGATTTTGCTGTTTGCGGTAAACATAATTTCCTGGACTGTAAAATGTGTTGCATTTTTATGGTGTTTCTATATACTCAGAAATATATGAAACTATTTATTCGTTACAGAAACTCTAATACGACAACTGACAAGTTTCTTTAGCGAGGATGAGCAATGTTTGGAGGATGTTGGTGCACTCCTTGCCGAGCCTGATGAAGATTGGTCAGGCAAACCTTTCAAGCACTCCTCTAACAAACCTGCACTTTTGAGCATTCCACATGATAAACCACAAGCATTGATGGCAGGGGAAAACATTAAACACTCCCCCAGCAATCTTTTTGCATTCTTTTTCCGTTCCGAATTTTGTAGAGGACTCAAGGAGCCTACAGCCACCTGACCGCGTGAAGCCACGGCCCCCAGTCGCGCCTTAGCACTAGACGCGCGCGCGGCCTGTAATGCTAGTAACACCGCTCGTACTTCTAGGCGAAAGCGCGGAGAGCATGCAGGGAGCACATTCTCAAGAAAATGCAAGCGGTGCAAGTGCGACTCGCCGTCGCCTGAGCGGATGGCGGCGCGACATGGTGAAACGGGGGCGTGGCTTTCGGAATGAGTGTGACATATCGAAATGGCCGTGACAACTCGAAAATGGTGGCGAGACAAGGCGAACGACAGCAAGATGATGGCGACACATCACCACATTCAGCCAGGCGACATGAAAGCAATAACGGACCTTGGGAGGGGTCAATAGTCACACTGCGGATTGCATGGAGAGCATAAGCGCGCCGAGCCTACAGCTCAAAGCACCCATCACGACGACCGAACCTGGCAGAACCGACAGCGAAGCACAGCGACCAATTCGTAGGCGCCAAAAAAATGGACTGACAATGCACAGCAGAGCCTAGAGCCTCGAATGCGAAAAGATCGGATGTCAGCGAATGGATTCTAGTAAGCTTTCTGATTGAGCGTCGTTCTGCCTCGTGGAAGCAAACATTATAGGGTTACTGAGTATGTTCATGTCGCTGCCGCATTGTGCGACTTACCGAAGAGTACGAGGTTCCGATTCGCGAAAAACTAGCACCTACTCCGGCTTTGCCGTGCCGAAGCAAAATGTGTACGTCTGTCACGCCAAGCTTGGCTGGCATTTTGGTTCCTGGGAAGGCCTTTGGTTTGGTATGCGTAAACTTCGGTCTGTGCGTTCGGTTTGATTTTGGTTTGGTGGCGTCATTTTAGGTATCGGACGAAGCCCCGAACATGACGGGGATCAGGCTCGGCCGAGTTGACGAAACCGAAGCTGAGTCGAGTCGATTCCGAACCTTTCGATTTCGCCGTTGCCCAAACCTCGCCACCACGAATCTCGCTAAGCTAGGTTGTGAACGTGTACTGTAAAAGGGGCTTTTGAATCACACATTTTGTCATATCAATCTCTGTTCTATAATCATCACAGCACTCCAACCCTATTTTTGAACCTTCCGTGCATAGCTTCTTCTCAGTTCACGAGTCCACGCCCTCAAGCATGAAAAATCCATGGCGGTTTCTACGAGCTGTCTATGGAACCGTACCCGCTTTTCCGTCCGCTCCATCGTCGCGTTGGCGGAATCGTCGCCAGCGTCTTCGTTGACGTCAACTCAATCCACTATTAGTCCCATCAATAGCCCCTGCAGCCACAAACAGACATTATTTTCAAGTAGCAGCTACAGCAACGACTCGTCCTCCTGCCCGTGTCGCCAGCCGCTGCTAGGTTGCGGCATTATCAGACTCGAGTCCATTCGAGACAACTATCACTCTCCCCACATCGCGCACTCCCGCCTTGCTCGGCGCGCAGCTTCCGCCGCTGCTGCTGCGAATGCTGCTGCTCGCTCTCGCCTCGCGCCGCGACGGCGCGCAGCTGCTGCTGTTGCTGCGGCTGGTGATGCTAGTGCGACGCCGCACAAGTGATGCAGCCTTCCTTCGGCGGTCCCTGTTGCCTGCTCAGGCAAATCGCGACACCCATTCGCGGGATTTCTGAGATAGGATGGCGACTTGGCCGCATGCACAGGCGGTATGCACCGAGGCCGCCTCGGCCTGTTCAAGCTTTTTTGTTGGGGCGTCGAAGATGCGGTGGATTTCGTTGGAGGGGTTGGAAGGACGGAGTAATGCTGATGGTAAGCTGCGCTTTCTGTGTTTCACTGAGCATTCAACGCATGGCGTCACAGCAGCAAGACGCTTAGTCCGGTGCTTACATTAGAGCTATTTACTACTGACGTGACAGATATGGTTAATGGGACATTTTATGATGCATAAAGTAAAAGGCGAAGGGATGATGGTGCGGGGAAGATTGGACGGATAAAGGAGATTCAGTTGTCGCATGCCACGTGGCACAGCTTGTTGAGGCGTCATTGTGCCATCCACCTTTTGCAACAGTTACTGCCGCTGCTATTGGTTTCCTGACCTCCCCCTGTCCCTATTTACTGCTCCATCTTCTCTCTCCCATTCTGCCTCTTCCCCCTTCCCCCACGTCACCCTCCAACCCCCCCCCCCCCCCTTTTTCCGCTCATGTTGTCCTCAATCCCCGCGCCTCTGCTCCCACCTCCCCACAGGTCTATATAGTTGAGGTCGAAAGCACACAATGAGAAGTGAAGTAAGATCCAGGTCCCGAGCTTCGCATGGTTGCTCACACGTGCCACTTCGGCATATCTACTGCTCTTGTGGCTTCGGATGGATGACGAAGGTGAGAGTTGGTCATGGGTGGGTATGTATGTGAGAGTCGGTGAGCGGAATCTGTGGGTTAGGGGCGTGTGGGAGGTTCACTCGAGAGATCAGTGAAGGGAGGTGGAAGGGGAGTGAAGGCGGGGTGAAGGGGAGGAGGATGGGGAGTGCTGCTGGGGCGGGCGGAGGCCATAGGGGATGCCTGGAGTGTTAACGATGGGTGGACGGGGCCCGGGGGTGGTTGACAAGCTGGATCTCGCCAAGGCGAGAGTCAGTTCGGGACGAGGAGTCGCGTGTAGGAATCTCTTGAGTCATGCGCAGGCGATAAGTGAAGTGAATGGTGGCATTGAGCAGCTGGGCGCCACCAAGGTGGGAGTTGCTGAGATTCGGTGAGGAGTGGGTAAAAGTGGCTGGGCTGGGGGATGAGATGGCTGGGGGGAGGTCACAGCAGGACAGGTGAGTTAAGAAGCTGGTTGCAGCCAAGGTGGGACCCGTTCCGCCATCTTCCCTCAACTACCTTCCCCTCCCTCCCAAACTCTGATTTCCTCTTTCCATCCAACTCCCATTCGCAACCCCCCTTTCCCCATCCATCCAGAATCGCATGTGTGATTCCTGTCCTACACCAACGCCTTGTGACTCCTTCATATCTGCCTCTACCCGCTCCTCCGCTTTCCCCGCTTTTCCACCCTTCTTTCCCGCTCTCCCCTCCCCCAACCTCCCCCCCCCCCTCCCTCCCCCCTCTCCCCCCTCCCCGACCAGTTCCAGTTCTACACCTGCGTCCCATACACCGAGAAAAAAAGCCCCTACAGCACTTTCTCCCACATCTGCACCCTAGCTCTGCATCGGCTTCCTTTATACGGACTCTTGGACCACACGTTCGCACCCTTATGGCACTGTCTCCCACATCATTCTCACAAGCCACTGCCATTTTTCCTCCTTTCCCTCCGCCTCATTCCCTCCCAGATCTGCACCGCACCTGCTTCTCCTAGACCCACGTCTGCCCCACTGCATAGAGTTGGGACCCCACAACGCGGGCACACTGTTCATCCAGGCCCAAGGTACTATCCCCTCCCCTCTCCACTCCATACCCCCTCCCACCCAACCCTCCTTCCCCACCCCTCCCAGCTCCGCACCTTCCTCTCCCACATCAATGTCTGCTACTACTAGTAGTGGGCCTATGTTCTTCTCCATCACTACTAGTGAGCCTGTTGCATGCCGTCGGTTTTCGTCTTGATGGACGAGAAGATGAGGTGAGGTTAGGCAGGGCTACTGGGTTCCCAGGGTAGAGCAAAAGGAGAAGCAGATGTGCTGGTAAGAGTAGTAATGTGGCTACTGCTCTCATAGACATATGTGCTCATGCCGGAGTGGTTATCGGGACAGACTAGAAACCTGTTGGGCTCTGCCTGCGCAGGTTCGAATTTTGCTGAGCACGAGTCAGTTTGTGGTCGGTTCGCTATGATTTTTGTATCAATATTGTTTTGCACTTCACAGTGCGACATCACATTGAAGTGCAGTGATTATTCAGATAACATATCAATTGCCTAGTGGTCACCCTATTGGAAGAATTTCGGCATGGCGATGCGACTATCGCTCCACACAAGGCAGCGCGCTGGATCTGTGACGTTTGTCGCACTAAAGTATGTCGCACTGAGGTCTGACTCACTGGGGTCTGTCGCACTGAGTTCACTCACCCCAGTGTGCACGTAGGCCGATCCGACCAGATTCCTGCCCGCACCACTCACTCCGTTCCCCATCCCGCTCTCTTCGCGCTTCTTTTGGCGCCTCAAAAGCCCTTTGCCTCCCCGCGTCCCGCATTCTGCTCCCCATTCCAATCGCTGTGCATAGAGACGTTACCCTAGATCCGTGCTCTCCGTTGCTCTTAAACCATTCCGTCTCACCAACCGCGTTACTCCCTTTCCTTCTTGTTTCCCCGTGTCCCTCCTCCTACCCCTTGCTCTCCCTGTTGCGCCACTCTGTGCCGTGCGGCGTTCCGCCCAAGTGAGCCCCGCAGCACTCGTGCCCGCATTCTGCTCCTCCTCGGGGCCGCTTCGCCTGGACGCCGCAAGCACCACGGGCAGCGCAGGTAGACCGGTGGCGGGTCCAGTGGAGCTGCAGGGTGAAGTGGGGGCAGGCAGATAGAGGAGTGGGGGGCAGCGAGCTTGAGAGTTGGCTGCAGGAGGGCGGGTGAGGAAGTGGGGAAGGAAAGGAGGATCAAGAGCAGCAGGGTCGGACGCGCATATTGGCGGCCTTGGTGGCGCGGATGGTGGCGGCTGTCCTCCCCCACGCCTTGAGTATGTTTCGCGCATGCGCGACCCCTGTTTGTGTCCCCTAAGCCACGTCCGCACCACGTGTCTGCAGTCTTCTCCCACCACACGGGAGCACGGGGGAAGGGGGGGGTGCTTGGGTCAAAAAATGGGGGGGAGCATGCATAAGTGGCAGTTTGATCCATGCACAGAGGCACAGGGGCGGCAGGTGGGAGGGGGGTAACAGGGGCAAGGAGGGAGTATGGCGGCCAGCAACAGGAACAGGCAGCATAGGCAGCACGGGCAGCATAGGCGGGAGAAACATGGGCACGGCTGCTCACACCTGTGATGCGGTACTCACGGACGCCGCCATCCTCCTCCTTTCTGTGATTATGCCCGCACCCGCCTCCTCCTCCCTGCGCTTCCCCCAAGTGCCCAGCGCAGATTCAACAGTAGCGGCAGCGGTGTGGTGCTGCACTGGGCAGCTTGTGTGACATTCATCCTTGTTGACCTTGATGACCCCATTCATCCTCTGCATAAACCAGCTGTCCCCATCTCAGGTGCTCCTCCTCTGCCCTCCATCACCCTCCCATCTGCTCCCACCATTCCAGCCACGCAGCATCACCATAGCCATTGCACCCTCAGACACCACCCCTCCCTCTCGCCCACCATCACCTACGTTATGACCATCTGCTGTCACTCGATTCTCCCCTCCATGCCCTTCTAACCCTCCTGTGCTTCTCTTTAAGTTTTTTCACCGATTTCTCTCACTCTACCCCCGCTACGCACCTCCCCTCTCCCCCCTCCCCCCGAAACACGACTCCCCCACTTTCTTGGTGGTTGAATGATGGTGGCAGCAGAGAGGACTTGCATGCACTCCATTTGCTGATCAAGAATCTTCATCTGACCACACCTTCTCTTCCCCTACTCCCTTGATCTCCCCTCAGCTGTTTCTAGCAGTCACCTTGTCATGATGGCATGGCGTGAAGGGAGGTAAGGCTGGCGGATTTGACAGAAGAAACTTGGAGAAGGTGAGGATGTTTAACATCCCAAATAGAAATCTCTTCGGCTTATGGTTGATGTAGTCTATATGTGGGCAACATTAGATGGCATGTCTTTGAATTTTAGTGGAGAACAGTAGTGTCGAGGCAGCTATGCATGTGCACACCTCATCCACACGTCATTCTATGCCACATCCCACACCTGATCCCACACCTCATCCAGACCTCATCCCATACCGTACATCATCCATACATCACCCTATACCCCCTCCCATACCCCGTCCCATACCCCGTCCCATACCCCGCTCCATACCCCGTATCATACCCCGTTCCATACCCCGTTCCATACCTCGTCCTACACATCCCACACATACATAATTCCTCGAACACATTGTTTATTTTCGTGCCCACCTTTCACTCGTGGTGCAAATATTGCATTCTAGTAATATTACAGGTAGTCTTTCTGGAAATCCAGCTCCTCTCGTTGTGTTTGCAGGCTGTTGCCATTCACAGAAGGTGCTGCTAGGGGAGATGGGGTAAGAATGAATGAAGGGAAAGGTGTGAGCAGGAGTTATGGCAAACTTGTTAGCAATGCCTTGACTGTGTCTCATACATCTTTTGTTTGTCATTTCCATCCGTTGCAGTGACATCAGCCAGAACAACCTCACTGGCCAACTCCCACCAGCAATAGGAAGTCTCACTAATCTTACATACCTGTAAGGCATTCTAGCATGCTCAAGTGTTGCAATGTCCATCATAGCAGCCTTGGAGCATTTCATGAAGAGGAGGTATACAAGGTTTTCCAGTGGTGTACCATAGCCAAAGAGTGTTTAAGGCCACAGGCAGGAGGTACACAAGGACCCAACTTGGACTGGCCCAACCCAAACCTCCACGTCAAGCCGTCTTCAAAAGGCGGTTATATACAAATGTATGGTTCGTCATTGTTTTCAGCCTGTATAACACCTTGGCATAGTAGAGTATTGCAATGTGTTCCATACAACTCCAATAGCAACCTCGGAGCGTTTCACTTCGAGCTGAAACCCTTTTCCGACTCTCTGTTTTATAAATGCTCCATGTGCACATGCAGGAACATGTTTTCGACTGCAATCACATGCCCTCCTGACTACAGAAGCTGTGTGGTCCCACAGACCACTTCAAGTGCTTTCTGCAGCCAGTGCGGCTCCTTTTGCACCACATGTGACAAGCCACCACCAGGTGAGACGCTTCTTACGCAGGTAGCTGCAATTTGTATTGCCTATTCTTACATTGCTCTCATGCCAAGTGCATGAACACCACATTGCCACCCATTCAACAAGCTTTTTCAGTGTCAGATTTTTTTTTCCAGGTATCAGGAACCCATAGAACAATATTTCCTAGTGTCACGCATCCGCATCCTCACGCATCCGCATCCTGTTGCATGCCTTCACTTGGCTTTTAATGAAGAGTACCCGTTTAAAACCCGTCAATGCCTCTCTTTGCTACTGCTCACTGTGCAAAATGTGCTTGATGCCACATCCACTTTCACCAAGCCCACCGCCATCCCCATGTCTGATTTCCCTTTCCCTTCCCTTTCTTCATCTTCCGATCCCATTATTGTACTGTCCCCATCGACAGTGCCAAAACCTTCTCCATCACCAGCGCCAGCACCCTCACCATCCCCAGTGACAGCACCCTCATCGCCAGCGCCAGCACCTTCTCCACCGCCTCCCACTTCAGCTCCTAATGCACCCTCCGCCTCTCCCTCCAAAGGAGGGGCGGTTTATTCAGCGAAGCCATGGCTGGCATTGCTGCTGCTGGCACTGTGGCTGTCCTCGTGTTGCTGCTGCTGCTGAGCTGGCTGCTGTGCCAGCAATGCTGCACCAACGAGGTAGCAGGAGGAGGGGATGGCGACGGCAATATTGGAATAGGCTAGAGTTCACTCTCATAATTATCATTGTGTAATCTTATTAGAGCAAGTTACACTTCAGGTTTCAGTTTAGTTAAAGGTTCAACTCATAGGTTTCACCTTTGATAACACATCATAACTGTAAGACAAACTTGGGTTAGCATTGAGACTTGCCACAGGCAGGCTGTCCTGGTTCAGAAGAGGCCTGGCACAAACAACAATAGATAATTCACCACATAAATACTAAGTCCTACAACACACCAACACGCAGAGACAAATTAAGCAAAAGCAAGGCAAACAGAAGAATTACTAAAGAGCACGGGGTGACCTAGGACGT